ATCATATTTAACCCTTTCAGGCACAGCGGTTACTACAGCGGACAGCTTATCATGTTACAGGTTATCATTATTGGTGCATGAAAGGGTTAATTATAGTATATCCTAACTCACTCTGTTTATATATTTTTTAATATACATGATTTTTCTGTTAATTTTAAGTCAAAACTATTCTTTTGTTTGCAACATGGAGCTGCATGTGTGACCAGGAAGGATAAAGAATACGGCCATGACCCTTGCTGTGCGTGAAGTGACGACGTCACGATTGTGACTTGTTGAAGTCCTCAGGTTCCGAAACCAACCACACCCCAGAGCATCACAGGCGACGCGCCGCTTGAAAGTCCAACATGCAAATTTTTCCTGCCCGAACATAGAGAGACCAAAACTGAACATTCGAACATCCTCGGGATGCCAATTTGAATGTGACTTGGTTTTAATTCCTGGCACACTGACCCACTCTCCAAATGTGCGCTTGTCATCTCTTGGGAGCCTCAAAGTCTGAGGGATGCTAAAATATCCTGTGACCTCATCACAAGTCACCCTTAAGCCTTTTCTTTATTTCGTTATCCTTTCACAGTCCCCAACTGTTAAAGCACAGAGAACTTTCAATATCCTCCCTCCTTTTTTTCCTCACCAAATTAAATAAAGACCCTTTGTTTCATTAATAAGTCCAAGGAGGTATTTTAAAAAAAAAAACATTTATAAACTCCCAGGATGTGTTTAAGCAGTCTGACTTCATGCAATGCATAACTGTCTGTCCCTTCATTAACATATGCAAATGTCAATATTTGACTGTTCAACAATGACACACACTCCAAGCCCAAAGGTTTCAAATTTCTGCATAATACAATATTGGATTTCAAAATGATGATGTTACCATTTGTGCTTGAGTTCTGTTGTGGGAAAGTACAGAGAGTATATATATATATATATATCTCAAAGTCTACAGTACAAACATTCATTAAGGAAAATAATGGGATTGTGTGACTTACTTTCTTAAAAACACACACACACACACATCTTAACAAAGCTCACGCTCAACAAAAATCTGAAAAAAATACATATGACAGACTCAATTGTCCAGATAACAATAATCCAATACATATAACAGACATAAAAAGACACATGAAAGTACCATAATTATTGTTGAGTATATCCATATTTTTGGTTTACTATCTGAGTGTATAATTAGTGTACAATCAAGTCATAGTGACCTCTAATGCTCAGGGTGTGGTTTATACGATTTTTTTCCCTTGCTGATATTTGCAGTCGCATTCATGCATCTCATCAGGCACACATTAAATCCCTCTCTGACTGTCAATCAAAAATGATCTTTTTAAAGTCTCATTTGAGACAGAGCTTGTATTGAATATTATATCGTGCGAGTGTAAATGGTGTGATGTGTGGATTTTTTGTTGTTGTTGTTCTCAGTGATTCCCAGTAAAGGTGCTGTGAGAGAGAATCAGGTTTGGTGAAGGAAATAATCCACTTTCATTGAATTGGTAAGTCACTTTTTTGAACGAAAAACAATGCGTCTTTGTTCATCAGTCAGCAATGTTGCGACAACGAAAAATACTTTTCTATACGATGGCAAGAGAGTACATCATTAAACTGTCACCTACATTGTGACATTTATGTTTGGCGGTGTACTGGTGAGATTTTTCTCCTGTTAAATATGTGCCGTGACTCAATAAAGCTTGGCAAACGTTTCTCTCTTCCGTGGTATGTGTCACTGTCAGATTATGGACACCTTAATATGAATGTTTAAACATCCTGCCCTTGTATTAGGTTACGTGAGTCACAAATGTTCTGTGTGGATTATCTCATTAGCTAAACACAAAAGGTGTGCGTGCCTCTGCGTCATAACACGACTGAAAGAAGGCCCGCGTTGAGCCTCACGTCGCTTCTTGATTTCTCCTTCGGCTTTTGTTGTAACCAGGAGTTTTGCCAGCGAACCTGCGTCACTCAGGTGTGTCCTGAACACACGGGAGGGAGAGAATGAATGAAATTAGGTAACAATAAGGCAAGAGAGTGGGCGTAAAACAGTTGCAACGAACTGTGTACCTGACACGCACCTTGAGCTTGACCTGTTTTACAAGAGCGCTGCGCGGACTCTCCTCCACTTTGAGCTTTTTTTTTTCTTTTTTTTTTTTCAGGCGGCGTTAAGCAAACACTTTCGGAGTGTATGCGTCATGACATTGGACAAATATGACTCAGCCATGTATCGCAGCCTCACCAACGCAAGGAATGTACACTCTCATACGATCGTTATGTACATGCAAATTCCCGAACATGAAACTTGGCGAATGGTCAACAGCCAAGCGGCTCCACAAGAATCAGCGAAGGAACAATTTGAGAGATTCATCACAATTGTACTGTCAATTTACAATAGACACAGAACACTGTCCAATAGGGTTGATATATTTGTGTGCGTTAACCTTCCATTATCTATCGCGCTTGTCTGCATTCGGGTCACAGGGACTATAAGGCAGCAGAATTCTTCAGAAATCCAGTGGCAGTTGTATGGCGGACGGTGCCCCCTTAACGTTGTGCCTGCCCCCCGCCAAGTAGAGACGAAGTAATGCGCCTTAGCAAGGTTTGTGTTTCTTTGCATCATTGCCATGAGTGTAGTACAGACTTGATATATACTGTGATGACTTCGAATGGCGTTAGATTTAGACAAGTGATGTAATTAATAGATACTATTCAGAAATAATTACAGTGAAGTAATTTAGACAATACGAGTGTATGTTCAAAACTGTGCCTCCCCCCAGCCCCCATTAAAATCAATCTAGAACTGCCACTGCTTAAATCAGCAAAGAAAAGTACATGTTACATTCTGTAACGAAATACAGTTGTGGCAGTGATTAGCACATCCGCATCTCAGCAGAGACAATCCGGGTTTGAATCTCAACTCAGACCTCTGCTTTGCTTTAAACTGGATTTAAACCCATTGCTCCACTTTGGAAGTGGAATCGAAGCCTCGCGTAGTCACTGGGAGGGTGAAGGTGAGTCACGCGGTGGTTTCCCAGAACCTTTGACACAGGACTGATGGCTCATTTGTCTGTGTGTCCAAACCGTGCATCAGCCGAGGCTCATCACGTCTACACGGTCTCCTATTATCCCTTTTGTGACCCGCGGGGACACAAGAGGAATAACAACTACAATGACCAAGGTCGAACTATTATTCATAAATTCTGACATTTTTTGGGGGGAGGAGGAAATCTATTTGTACTTCTGAGCAGTCTCCGGGGTGACTTAACATGAGAATATTTGTCATTTCTTGGCTTTCTGACATTCCCTCATTGAAATCTGGACAGCAATTTCCTCATACGGGATACTCCCAGAGCTCGGAATACAGCAGTCACCATTACGGGTAAAACAGATAATTGAAAATAAAATTCAACATTATGCTGAACGAAGCTGTTGGAATTAGTAAGAGCCTTGTACTTGTTTCTATTCAACGCGCTGTTCCCATCTTGGGTAACGTAGGACTCGGCATTAACTTTTGAACTCAGTCACTGTCAAATATATCTTCAGTCAATCTTTACATCATACAAAACTAAGGTATGCCTATTGAGATGACGAGACATCGACAGATATGGTCAAGCTGCACCGCACCCCCCCCCAAAAAAAGGGTGTGACCAAATTTGCGTTGCAAAAGATTTTGATTATGGGTCAATCATATAAGAATGAGTCAGTACATAAATAGAAAAGGCTCCACTCTCACACATGCTGAGGGCTAAAAAAGCAATGACTAGACTCCAAGCTCTAAAACTAAAGCACTGCTGGAGATTTTCAACTCCAGTGTTTTGGATTGCGCGACTGCTGAGATGTCCTGCTGACTCATGGGCAGAGATGATTACATTTATTCGATACGTGTCAAGGGAGCTTTATATGGATCCGATCCAGGACGGCGCCTCTTAAAGAGAACTAAAAGAACCCCACCTGAGCCACTCTTTTTTTTCATGAAAAAACTCATTGTTGGGTGGCCATCTGACTCATCTGGTTGAGTTGAGAACAATACACATGGTGGTATAATACCATTGATAGTGATAGTTTAAGTAGGACAGAGAAAATATGCATCGCCATTTTCACTAAAAACATCATCACTATGTAAACACTGAAAGATGCTTTACGTACAAATAGATAATATCAGCTTAGAGGGGGTAGAATGGAAATCAACACAAAAGCACCACACACCTCCAATTCACTAGTTATAAAGACAAACTGATTCCCATGTTGTGTATAAAATACAGAATCACAACATTCGAGTTTATTTAAAAACCACAATCAAATTAAAATGTAAAAATAAAAACAATGAAGTCTGGCTGGAGTGTCTGACGAAACAAATGTTAACTGCTTTGTTTTATTGTTTTTTTTTTTCATACGAGAACCAAACCTAGAAACAGTGTTACATTTAACAGAAAGAAAATGACCTTTTTTTGCATTGAGGACAACATTTTGAATAACTTCTTTTTGTTTTTTTTAAATAGAGGCACTGCAACTCCTACAGCTTTGAACACGAACAAAAATAAGAAGGCACTGAAAACTTAAAATGCCCTGGAGAACTTTTTGTATCGTTAGCTAGAATTAAAAAAAAAAAAAACATGTCTTTTATGGTATCCTTACTTTGTTTCTTTTTGCATATTTGTATATATTTTTTGTGTATTTAAATAGAACTAGAGATAACATTTTTTTCTTGAAGCTTGAGTCACGAATAACGTCTTAAAAATGTGAGGGAGAGAAAAAAAGTCAACCGTACAGTATGAGTTTGTATGAAAATGTATTTTCCATTCTAAGGGTTTTTTGCTGCCATCTACTGGTTAAACTGGCTTTTGTGGGTTTGAGGGTCTAATAATACTTTCAAGTTGTCAGATTTGTAATTTGCATAAGAATTTAGCTGTTAATTCGGCATTGGTGTCCAGAATGTGCCAATGCATACCGTCCAGTTGAGACGTAAAGCTTCGATTTATTAGAGTCACGGTTTCCACTGAGTGTGGACGGAAGTTGCCGAACTTTGCCGACATTTTCCGGAAACGACCGAGCTAAACCGACCGGTGCCGGCCTTCGACGCTCGAGGCGTTCCCGGCTTCCCGCCCGTTGCACGTTTGTTGTGTTTTGATTAGCCGGGCGAGTGGCTCACGCTTTCTGTATCGTAGCCGACCGGCGGTAGTAGCTGGTACGGCTACCCTATGAGGCGGGGAAGTAGGCCTGCGTTTTCTGTGTAAACACCGGGCCAAACGCTGTGAGGCCATGGCGGGGTTCTTCCATATGGACTTGGACCAACCGGATGAGAATGTATCGGACGACGAACTGGAAGACGAAATGGAAGACGTGGTAATCACAGTACGCGTTAGCATGGATGCTAATAGCGTGTTTTCACTCAAATGTTTAGCGGCGCCTTTAAGTTGCTAATACGACAACGAAACTCAACATCGGACACTGTACTCGCCTCGCGTTTCCCGCGAATTCTTGCATTTCACCGAAATACGCCCCAAAACGTCATTGTATAGTTTTTCCTCACTTTAAAGTGACGGTACACCCTGTGCGTTACTTATGCACTTTTTGGTGACGCCACAGTTTGAGTGTTTTTGAGTGACCGGCACTCCGAGCACTGCCAAAGCGCATACAGCTGAAAACCAAATGTAATTATGCTTTTAGTTCAGAAGGAGAACCTCTTCTAAACTTACAGTAAAACGGTTAATAGTCTTAACGACATTTCTAGCACGGTAGCTTTCGTAGCAAATTTACTGTAATTTGAAAATATTTTTTTGTAGACTATCCTCTACTGTAGCTTCTGTAATTGTTTTCTCTCGGCATGCTCAGTGCAATACAAGATAACACGTGTCGCGTAATTAGTGTATTTGGCTGTATTTACGGCAGGTGTCTGGATGTTAAGACACTTGTCTGTTTTTGTTAATATCTATGTTTTTTATGTTTAAGTTGAGGGGAAAGTTGGTCGAAAAGCAAGATACAAAACATGCAGGAAAATAAAACATAATTCATGTCTCATTAACTAGCCTACATTAATGTTAACGACTTATATTTAGCAAAGTGATTTAGCCAGCATTAAATAAATCTGATGTCTATTTTAAGCATTTCATCATGTTTTCTCCCTTTGTGCCCAATAATCTTAATAACATTCAAGATACCATTGTGTAGTTTGCAATATTCAAAAACTTATTTGGGCCAAACAACGTGGGATAAAAAACTATAATATTACAAGAAAAAAAGTCTTAATTTTATGAGAATAAAACTAATTTTATGTGAAATAGCTATGCTCCAAAATTAAAAAAAGGCATACAAAGAAGACATTTTAAATTTGATGAAAGTTTTACTATCTTAGACATATTGTGCAAATTCGCTGTTTCATACTTGAAAAGTAACACAAAATGCTTCACAAAAAATCACTGAGCACTTCAGGTTAAATATTATGAGAAATAAAGTAATGATTATATCCAATCAAATCTTTGTTAATGTTGCTCTTTCATACTGAAAACACAACACAAAGACAAACTCATCCATCCCTCCCATGTCCCTGACCCCCAGGACACCCATCACCCAACACAAAGTAGTTACAGTGCAAAATATGAGCATCCATGTATACCTGGTGAGCACTATTAGCACCTTGTCAAGTTAAACTTTGAATATACATTTGACAAAAATGAAGTCATCAATGTTTCGGTACGTCAACATTGTCATTCCTGCAAACAGTTTACCAACACACTATTTCTAACAACTCTTTGCTCTGAACGACTTTAATATGACTACTGTTACTGTTTACACACAAAAGACCAAAACAAATGGTGGACAGCTAAGCCCGAGGCACGTTTTCCAGTTTCCATGCTACCATGAAAAGTCACATAGTAGTCATGCCTTGCCTTTTTAAAAATGTTCACATTTTCTGAAAGGGTTCCTATTTTCTTTATTTTCAGGTTCAGATCAGCAAACACGTGGACCGATGCAGCGGTTTTGAAACGTGAGCATCAACTGGTACAAAAGGAAATGCCTCAACCTGTATAATTAAAGCTGCGCAAGAATTACAACGTGTTCATTGTTTGCTATGATTTGCTTTTTTTAATTTAAAAGGTAAGATTATTTGATCGGATCACTAACCTAGATTTGAGAAAATGTGTTCACATGAGTGTAATGACCTTTCGAGCCAGGCAAAGGCACTTTAGTCTACCTGTTCTATCCGCAAGGAACGCCAGCCAATCCTAGCACATATCCAGTGGTAATTCTGCCGCAATGTAATTTGTTTTTAATTTCTCTGCTCCACCCCCCTTTTTATTTTTATTTTACCAGTAACATAGATGACTGTGAGAAGTTTGAGATTTCCGAGAACAGCGTGAACAAGGGAACCGAACAAATCGGACTTGAGTGCTTTGAGCTGCTGAAGGTTCTGGGAAATGGTACCTATGGAAAGGTGAGCCGTTATGTTCATCTCTTTCATGAAGGCAATGGAAATTGTGCCTCACTCCTCAATGCTGTTGGTCATTGAGCTGTTCCAATTCAAATACACACCGACTGGTCAGAGCAGTATTACAGTGACCTCATTCAAGTACAAGGCAGTCCGAATATTACACTTAGCTCTCAGTATGATGCAGTACATTTCTACACCCGGCATAATTAACATATCGTTAAAATGGATGCCTCTTTGATGTTGTCAGGCAAAAATTAATATTGTTATTTTTGTAAAGCCATATTACAGCTCCAGTGCTTTTCGTGAAAGTAAGCAACTGATAATAATGTTGTGTCTGTAAAGTATGCAGTCCCCCCCACCTATTCACCATGTTTGCAATTTGTAGATTTTCAGGGGGGAACCACCACTCTATAATTTGCTGAAATAAACTCACATACTTGCTGTTTTTGCGCTCAGCCAAAGCCATGTCTAATACAAAAATTCAGAGTTTCTTTGAGGCCATTTTAAGGCCAAGGAACTATGTTGAAGTGAGGGAAGAGCGCTTTAGTCACAGTATTGTCTGTGAAATAGAAAAAAAATGTTTTCCACCATTTTGTTGCATCTTTCAGCAATCATGAACATTTTTGGGTGGGGGGTCATCTGCTTTACAAGGAAATTTTGTGAAACTGTTTTCCATTGCTAACTGCCATATCCGTATTGAGAAGTTAACCACAGTATACGAAAACAAAAATACATTAAAACTGGTCATGATTTGAAGACAACTTGACAGACTCAGGGAGGTCTTTGCAGAGCAATACATCACGTAGCAATGTTTAAAAGGTAATACTGGAATTATGTATGCTTTGTAAACACAATTTTTTGTCATATTGTCCTCAACTGTCAGTCTGTCGCTGTAAATTCACGAAGAGGGTCATTATTATCATTACCATATTGCCATTGTTGTCACGGGTATTCTTCTCTGATGGCGCCACAAAACCCCCCCCAAAAAAATGACAAAAAGCCAAAGAAGTGAAACGCGGGTGGAGTCAATCCTTCAACTGCTCGATTACTTGGAGCCCCATGAGGACTGTTATGTTGTGTTTTGTTTGAATGTTTTTTGTTTTTTGTTAGGTTTTTCAGGTTCGAAAGGTGTCAGGTTCCAACTCTGGGGAGGTATTTGCTATGAAAGTTGTGAAAAAGGTGAGGACGAATCCTTCTTTGTATCTCATTTTTGTTTGATGCGCTTCTTCCTATGATGAGCCATCCTGAGCGCTACTGCCCTCTTGTGTACATCCTAAGCAGAGCAATGTCATCGGGGTAGCATTATGCGAGGAAACACAAGCAGCCCTTATTTGTGGAGAATTAGGTGCCTTAAATACGTAACAGTTAAAAGCACAGCGCCACCTAAGCACGTATTATGTTTCACATATACGGTATGCCACAATGTGCCCCTTTTTCTGTCTCGGTGACAGACTTGTGCATTCACTTATGAAGCCACATGCGAGTAGCAGACCACCCAAAGTAATGTAAGCAGGCTTTTTTTTCTCTCTCTCTCTCTCTCTCTCTCTCTCTCTCTCTCTTCTTGAAACCTCATCGTGGCTTTTATGCTCCGCTTAACCTCTTAGCTTTAGCTGACACTAAACGATTGCCTGACTCGCTCCATTCCCAGCAGCTTGAGGCTTTGGATAATGATGTGTTTATTGGCTTAATGAGGCTTCACCCTCTCCCCTCACACAGGGTGTCTGATTCCAGCGCTGTCACTGGTGCGGAGACTTAACGCAGTTCCAACGGGGTTAAAATTACAGCCCGGATACAAATAATGCCTTGCTTTCTGTGTTTTTCGCCCATCCCCTTTGTCAGGCCAAGATTGTTTGCAACGCAAAGGACGTAGAGCACACCAAAGCCGAGAGGAGCGTTCTGGAAAAGGTCAAGCATCCTTTTATAGTGGATCTCTTTTATGCCTTCCAGACAGCGGGAAAGTTGTACCTAATCCTGGAGTATCTCAGCGGTGAGCATCCACGAGCATCAGCACAGCCTTGCTCATTGACATAAATGGATGCAATCCACTTTTCATGTCCGAGGATCGAATGGTGGAGCATTTTCAGTGTTAACACACTTTTTCTTTTTCTAACGTGAATGCATTTGCAGGTGGGGAGCTTTTTATGCAACTGGAGCGGAAGGGCTTCTTTATGGAAGACACAGCGTGGTAAGTTTCATGTGTACTCAGTTAACTTTTTTTAATGTCTTTTTTTTTCATAATTATACAATCTTTCACACCCTTTTAAGGGCTTTTGAAAGATATTTTTGGTTGAAAATGAGTGCGATGCCCTTTTTTTGCAAGCTGTTTTTGTTGGTCTGAAATTATGGTTTCTAACGATATTTAAACCTGTTCGTCCAATTTTTTTTTCATTAAAAAAAACTTTTACGGGAATACGGTGTCTGCATTTCAGGCATCCCGTTAACATTAAAATTCATACCATGTGATTGTAACGTGCCATCCTTCTTAATATATAAATGTCATTGTTTCCAGAATCCATGTTAGGCTTGTGAACAGTATTGTTGTGGGGCAGTTTAAGTTACCGGATGTATGTTTGTAAAACACATTTTGAAATATGCAAATCCTATGTGAGATGTGATCGTCTTAAAGAGAAATGTCTCATGCTTTTTTTTTTTTTTTCTGTCTTCTTCTGTTGGCAGTTTTTACCTGGCTGAGATTTCAATGGCACTGGGCCACTTGCACCAGAAAGGTATCATCTACCGAGACCTGAAGCCCGAAAACATCATGCTCACCAACAAGGGTACCGAAATCGTGTCTCTTTCTCACTTGTGGCTCAGGTACAATATTATTGTGTGACTGCTGAGAAGCCACCCTTCACGTATGATGTCCAAAACATTTATTTTCAAGGGCTTCAATTAATTTTGTGCGTAAACACACACACACACACACACACACACACACACACACACACACACACACACACACACACACACACACACACGTCAAGTTATTTCACTTTTGTCAACTCTCGTGACTTTCAAGATTGACATATTGATATGCTATCCAAAGACTGTTTTGCCATGCTTATAGTTCTGTGATTTGTACTTTCAGGGCATGTGAAGTTGACTGACTTAGGCTTGTGCAAAGAGTCCATCCATGATGGGATGGTCACCCACACCTTCTGTGGTACCGTCGAGTACATGTACGCCCTGCACATCACAATCCTACAGGCTAAGTAACCAACATTAGTTTAGTTCAGTTTGAATAGACTTCGTGTATGGCTTGTTTATAACGGCCCTCCAATATGGCTGCCAGTAGTGCATTGTGGGTAATTGCGAAAAGGACGGAGCCCTCTATAGTTCAGAACAGGGACAGCCTGACCGGGCTTGGATTTCCAAGGTGGGATTTGTACACGACAGACAGACGGGTGGATCGATTATGGGATCTTTTGCAATTGCACTGCGAAAATACAAGTACTCGGCTGAACCACATTTTGTGGCACTGGGGCCCGCTTCTGCCGTTCGGTGTTAACCGCATCACCGTTTCCCAAGGGCTCCGGAGATCTTCATGAGGAGTGGCCATAACAGAGCAGTGGACTGGTGGAGTCTGGGGGCCCTCATGTACGACATGCTGACAGGAGCAGTAAGCGCACACGGCCGCGTCCCGCTTTCTGCCGAGTCAGCTGATTCTGTTCGCTGAGATCTTTTGTCTTTTTCTCCCGCAGCCTCCGTTCACTGACGAAAACCGAAAAAAGACCGTGGACAAAATTTTAAAATGCAAACTCAGTCTTCCACTTTACCTCACTCAAGAAGCCAGAGACCTCCTCAAAAAAGTGAACCTTCACTGCTCCTCCTCTCCTCCGCCAGCCTCATATTGCACAGCTTGTATCTGCTCAACATGACGTTTTTTTATTTTTCCTCTTCTCTCAGCTTTTACAGCGAAGCGCCTCATTGCGACTGGGGGCAGGGCCAGATGACGCCAGCGAGGTGCAGGTAATTTTTTGAAGTCAACTTTATTGTCAAATGTGCGACTTGTGCAACATACAGCACAAATGAAATGACATTCCTCAGGAGAGAGAGGAGCCGCTGCGGGTGCCCGCACCGCCATCAAAAGAACAGTTACAATTCTTAGAATCACAACTGAGGCTGAATGAGTGTGAAACAGAATCTAATTGCAATCCCCCCTCACCCTCAATGTTGCGATTAAAGGTGCAACTCTGAATTGATCAATTGATTTGCAAATCAATTATTGATTAATCAATCGATGAATCATTTCAAAACAATGTGAAATGAAAAATTGTCCAAATCCTTGGAATTTCAGCCCCTCAACGGTAGACCTTCTCAAATTTCTGTCGTCTTTAATGGTATCTAAAAAAAATATTGATTTCCCCCAGGCCCACCCTTTCTTCCGCCATACCAACTGGGAGGAGCTCCTAGCACACCAAGTGGAACCTCCATTCAAACCTCTCCTGGTGAGTTCATCCGGCATACAGTGCCGCCACGCTCCCTGACCCGAACCCAAAACAATCGACTTCCCCGAGCCGCTTATTTTGGCAGCGATCGGCCGACGACGTCAGCCAGTTTGACTCCAAGTTCACCAGCCAGCCTCCAGTGGACAGTCCGGATGACTCCTTTCTCAGCGAGAGCGCCAATCAAGTCTTCCTGGTGCGTCTCGGTTGTGTCATTCTTGCCTCGTTATCCGTTGTTGTCAAAGGTTCATTCATCGCCGCACCAGATCGGGGTTATAACAGTTTCGGGATTTTCATTTGTTATTTTTTTCATTTGTTTTGAATTATCTTTTTTAAATGCACATAGTTCATAATTATTCTTTAGAGTGGCTTTGTTAGGTTTTTTTAAATTCGTTTGAGTATTAGCTTTAGTTTTTCAAAATTGTATTTCTTGTCTGCAATTAAAAAAAAAAACATCACAGTAATTATTGTGTAGTAAAAACTCAACAATATTTTCATACATGGCAATTTTCCGCGGATCCGCGGAAATCCGCCGTTTTATTTCTTAAATTGATCATTTTTGTGAATCGTCTAAATCCGTTGAGAAAATTTTAGGGGCGGTCAGGTACCTTATCGTCGAGTTTTCACGAGCTCTCCCGAACAGTCTCTCCGTTTTCCGTTTGTAAACAGCCCTGCGATTGGACGTGTATGAAAGCTTCAACTAATCAGATCACTGAAGGCATTATTTGTTGCGGAAGTCTTAGCTCGATTATAAACGGCCCAGCGATTGGTTAACTACAAGCGATTGGACCAATCAAATTGCATGTAACATATTGCTTTACCTGATTCATGGCGGCCTGTTCGTCTCGCAAATTCATTGTTCTGGGATCGTTTTGAGCGGAATTATGAAATTTTTGACGAAAGATCAGGAGTCTTTAATCCTAGAAATTGACTCAAATGTCAAGAATAAATT